TTTATAACACCCGAATAAGCCTTCAGAGCACTGGTTTCACTTTTAATGTATTTTTGTAACTGTATTTATCACTTTTATCAAAACTCCGATGTGCATAACTTGAACTTTTGAATATATTAAATTTAAGACTGTAATTCAGACAAGGTTCATTAAGCTGTTCAACATCTGGACATCTTTGAGTGCCTATATTTTAGACTGAAAAATGAAACAAAAATAACCTTACTTGATTTCTAAAATTATCTTTTATAATTGGGTTTGTTTATATAATTCAGAACTTAATTAAAGTGTTGGTGATTCTAGGTCCTAAATGTAAGGAAATTGAGTTTAGCTTCTTTCTATTCAACTGTTGGGGAGTGTTTTGAATCAGAATGTGAAAATGAAATAGTAACTTTTAGCTTAAGACATAGTAGATTCAGTTATACTTTCATTTTGTTTTTGTTTTATAAAATCTGACTCGTTTGTAAGGGAAGTAGAGGCTTCTAAGGATTAGTGATGATTTAAGATGTTATTACTCTTAACATCTTGAGTCTTTTTCTCAGTGATAGGTTTGTATTTTAGTTCAGTTTATTTGCTGTTGGGCTTTTGATTTATGTTGCTCTTTCTGCCTCTGTCTTTGCTTACTTGCTTTTTTTTAAGTACAGCTTGGCCACCAAATCTGGAAACAACAACAACAGTAAAAAACCATACACAGTAATGGTTTATTGATGTTATAGAATATGTTAACATATTACCTGTGTTTTCAGACTTTATGACCATCCTATAGAGCGGAATTCATGTAGGTAGGTTTTCTGTTTTTCTTTGGATATATATTAATTACATGGCTGTTATGGAGTCAGGTATAAGGTATTGAATATAAAGGAGTAGAGATGCATAGTTAATGATAGCTGGCTAGAATAACATTGATCCTGGGATTTAAGGGGACTGAAAACTAACAAGGTAAAAATAAGTGTGATGGTTAGTTGGTGTGTAATATTTGGCTACCAAAGTTTGGGAGTTGCTGGATAAGCAGTAGCTTCAGGACTATATTTCAGAGATGGTCAGAGGTGCTGACCAAACAGTGATGCTGTTAAGAGTGTTTTTAGGCCTTAACTCTGTTATTTGAGAGTAATGCCTTTGGTAATGGTAAAATTCTTAAGTCACTTAAGAATGAAAACTGGTCTACATCCACAGAACTAGATGAGAATGACTCTCACAAATGTGTGTGAGGCATCTTTGCAAAAGATTTAGATACGTATTTCTGAGTTTTTGTTACTCTATGCTTTTAGGTGATGCTGTCTGATGCTTGGCACTGTTAACTTGTATATGTTTGTAGGTGTGTATTAAGTGTAAGAAACCTTTGTACTAATAGGGGTTATGTTTCTTGGAAAGATTTCCAAAGGAAGAAAGGTGATAGGAAGCATAGACTCTATATAAAGTCAGAATGCTTAAATCTGAATCCCTCTTCCACCATTCTATAGATGGGATAACTTAAAGCAATTACTTAATGTTTCCAAGCCTCAGTTTTCTCTTTTGTACAGTGAGGATCTTTCATAACATTGTTGAGTTGGACTATTCCATGTGAAGTCATTACCCTGGAGCCTTGGAATGTTATAATTTGAGTGCTTTCTCTTATTGCTGTGACTGCTGTTATTACAGCTTCTAAATGATGTTGGTAAATCAGAAGGCGGAAGGCCCTGTTTGAGAGTGCCGCTGAAGCTTTTAATGATTATGTGACTTTGTGAGTTATATATTCTTTCTTGGATTTAGTGGCCGTAATCTGTACTGTAATGTTTTTGAGTTAAGGTAGAGAGCTGGACCATATGATGTCTTGAGGTCCTTTTGATGCTTAAATTTAGAGCTCAGTTTTAAGATTGTCATTTTCTTCCAAAGTGTAAGCTACATAAAGATAACAACTATGTTTTGTGTGGAGATTTATTCATTTATCTCTATTATACAAACATTTGTTGAATACATTTTCCCATAAAAACAATATCTTTTAGGGGGAGGAGGATAGAGAGTAAGAAGAGGGAAGGAAGGTTTGCATTCCTTCTCAAGAACTTGATGCTTTTCCTGCTCTTCAGTTTTTATTTAGTACATAAATAGTGTCTGCTAGCATTAGATACTTTGGGGGACAAAGATTATCAGTCTGCCATGTGTGGGATGAGGAAGGGAGTAACTGTGTATATGAATTGTCATACATGGTGAAAAGTAAAGATGCTATAAAGGAACTGTGAGTGTATTTTATTGGAAGGATTGATGCTGAAGCTGAAACTCCAATACTTTGGCCACCTGATGTGAAGAAGTGACTCACTGGAAAAGACCCCAATGCTGGGAAATATTGAAGGCGGGAGGAGAAAGGGACAACAGAGGATGAGATGTGGCACCACCGACTCAAATGGCCATGAGTTTGAGTAAACTCCAGGAGTTGGTGATGGCCAGGGAGGCCTGGTGTGCTGCCGTCCATGGGGTCGCAAAGAGTTGGAGGAGACTGAACTGAAGTGTATTTTATATATTAAGAATCCTTATAAAACGTATAAAAAGTCAAATGGCAGTATAATTAGATCGTCTTACCTTGTAATTTGCTTTGTTCTCACTTTTGGAAATCAGATGCTTAAAAGGAAAAGCATCAGGGTTGTGAACTTTAGGAAAGTTTACAACCTTAAGAACTTACTGAAACTTAAGACTAATATTTGTGGAGGAGATCAATGAAAAAATTTAGTAAATATATAATCCCATCTCATTTTGGCCTTTGTATTATGGAAATTTTTAATCCTATGGAATATTGTAACAGTACACTGAGTTCCCATGTGAAAGTTGGTCAGTCGTGTCCGACTCTTTTCGACCCCATGGGACTGTAACCTGCCAGGCTCCTTTGTGCATGAAATTCTCCATGCAAGAATGCTGGGGTAGGTTGCCATTCCCTTCTCCAGGGGATCTTCCCCACCCAGGGATCAAACTTGGGTCTGCCGCACTGCAGGTGGTTTCTTTACTGCCTGAGCCACCAGGGAAGCCCCCATATACCACCACCTAAATTCAGTGGTATTTTATATTTTTGCCATATTTGCTTCATCCATTATCTTTCTGAACCATTTAAAAATATATTAGAAACATCATGTCATTTCACCCCTAAATACTTAAGTATGAATCTCCAAAAAATGACATTTCCTTTATACTTAAAATACTTATATCATGCATAGCATGGTTATCTAATCCCTGGAAGTCATGTAATCCTCAGTCAGAATGTCTTCTGTATGTTTTTTCCTTTCCACACCAAGGTTTAGTGAGGGATCTTGCATTACATTGCATTTGCTGTTGTATCTCAATTCTCTTTTAAATTTAAGCACTAGTTTTAAAAAGTGAGTTTCTGAAGAGACCAATTATTTTGTAAAATGTCCGGTATTCAGAATTTCTCTGATTTGTTTCTTTGAAAATTGTTTAAAACTTCACTGAAGACTGTGTTAAGTTCAGGTTAAACATTTGGCCGTGATACTTCATAGGTGATGCTGCTTTGTGTTACATCACATCAGGAAGTATTACAGAATGATTGGCTGCACTATTTGTGGTGCTAAAGTATTACAGAATGATTGGCTGCACTATTTGTGGTGCTAAGTTTGATGGCTGGGTTAAGGTGGTGATTGTTCAATGTCTTCCTGGACAAGAAACATTTTCTCTTTTGAGATTACCAGGTAATTCATGGCATATTTTGTTACTGTAGAAATCTTTCTCCTTCAGACTTTGACTTAATGGGTTTATTGATATCTTTTTAAAAGATAGATATGAGCAGGGATTACCAAACCATAGCTTACTGGCCAAATTTGGTCTGCTGCTGATTCCGTAAATAAAGTTTTATTGGAACACAGCCATGCTCATTTGTTTACATACTGTTTCACTACTTTCCCACTACAGTGGCAGAGTTAAGTAGCTGTGACACAAACCATATGGCCCTGCAGAGCTCTACATATTTACTGTTTGGTGCTCTATAGAATAAGTTTGCTGACCCCCTGGTTTGTATTCTCCTTTTTCTCATCATGTTGTTAGTAGTGGTATAAATCTGGTGTTTATATGTTGCCTCTCCTGCATCCTGATGTATTATTCAAGGTATAATTGTGAAAAGCAATTGCTTTTCACATGGTTGAAATTGTGAAGTTTTTGCTTATGTCTCCCCAAAGCATAAAGTATATCTGGTTATGGTCCTATACATAGTATATGAAATCATATGTTAAAAAATGAATATTTCAGACATAGAATAAAGAACCCCAAAGTACCCACTGTGCAGCTTTAGTTTAGGATGTAGAACATTACTGATACAGTTGAAGCCCTTCTGTAGTCTTCCTGGATACCATCCTTTCTTTCCACTGTCTTGAATGTTGTGCCTTCTCTTGCATATACAATTTCCATGTATATATGTATCTGTGTGTAACTAACATATAGAACTGTTTTAAGAGATTTTGTAGTTTCTGTATATAATTATATATGGAATGTCTTTTTATACAATTAACCTTTTTTAATTTAACATTTCTGCAGAGTTCTTCCTTGTTGATCTAGTCCTCGTTTTAAATAGTGTTGCATTGTATCCCATTGTGTGATTATAACACATTTGTCTAATGTCTAAGGATGAACATTTGGGATTACTTTGCATATGTATACAATTGTGCCAAAACATAAATTACATCTTTTTATATATATGTGTTAAAGTTTCTCTAGAACACAAAGTTAGGAGTATAGTTGCTAAATTGTAGGTTATTCTTCTCTTATAACCTACCTAGATATTTCCAAAATTCTCTCCAAAGTGGCTGTACCAATTTATACTCTGGCCAGTGGGATATAAAACTTTTGTTTCTGTTGCCCTAGGGCTTCCCTGGTGGCTCACCTGATAAAGAATCTGCCTGTGATGCAGGAGACCTGGGTTCGGTCCCTGGGTTGGGACGATCCCCTGGAGAAGGGAAATGCTACCCACTCCAGTATTCTGGCCTGGAGAGTTTTGTATAGACCATGGGGTCACAAAGAGTCGGACTTGACCAAGCAACTTTCAGTTCATTTCATGTCAATATCAGTGCTCCCTTATATAAATATAATGTTGGTCATACATGTAACTTAAAATTTTCTAGTCATTACATTAACAAAAAAAGTGAAGTCAATTTTAGTGATGTATTTTATTTAGTCATTATATAAAAAGTAACATTTCAGTATATAAACAAAATTAATGATATTTTTGCATTCTCTTTTCCATTAAATCATAAAAATGTGGCATGTATTTTATATTTAACAGCAAGTCTCAATTTGGGTTAGCCACACTTCAGATTCTCACTAGTCATCAGTGGTTAGTAGCTGTTAGCACAGCTCTGTATCTTGTCTCCATTCGGGACTTAGAATTCCTATCCCCTCCCCCCCTGCCATATTTCATTATAACTTTAATTTTGTATTTCCTGTTATTTGTGAGGGTGAACATTCTCATATATTTATTGGCCATTTAAATTTCCCCTTTTGTGCATTTACTGTTTTCATTTGCCCTATTTTCTATTTTCCTGGTTTTTTTCTTAATGACAAAGTTATATAGGTGTAAATATGGGTATACTTTGCCACTAGAATGCTGGTAATTTTGTCAATTGTGTTTTCAGAGTTTTTACAGATTAATTAGATAAGTGTCTCTATAAAAGGACACATTAAACATTTTAACCTAAAGCTAGTTTTCAAACGACTCCAAAAATATTTGGATTGAAGTGGATGCTCGGAAGAGTAGTATTTGAACGCTTATCAGGTGGTGCTAGTGTTAAAGAACCCGCCTACCAATGTGGGAGATAGAAAAGACGCAAGTGTGATCCCTGGGTTGGGAAGATCCTCTGGAGGAGGGCATGGCTACCCACTCCAGTATTCTTGGCTGGAGAATCCCATGGACAGAGGAGCCTGGCACAGTCTACAGTCAGTAGGGTCGCAAAGAGTTGGACGCGACTGAAGTGACTTAGCGCGCGTGCATAAACTTGAGGGAGAAAAGGGGGATGGGGTGATTGCTTTACACCTAAATAATCCTTTGTGTGTATTTCTTTTCCTTTCCTTTGTTCAGCTTAATCTTTTAGTCTTGCTTCTTCTTTGCTTAACTGTAACCTCAAGGACTCTAGGAAGAACTAGCCTGAATGGATTCTGGCCTAGAGTTAAAGATGTTCTCAAAAAAAAGTAATTCGGGGGGAAAAAAAAGCTGCAAACATAAATGGAGATGGAGTGGGAATGTTAAAGGAGATTTGAGAGACACATAATCAATAAAATATTTGAACCCTGCGGGGGGGGTGGGGGGGAGGCTATAGGGCTCCACTGAGGTAGGGACTTGGGGCTTCTTTATATGCTGCATCTGAAAAAAAACCAGGTGACAAATTCATTAGCATGCCCTCTGTCTGCAGTTAAGTGGGTGTAATTGACTGGGTGCTTTAAATGTGAAGATCCCCTGGAGAAAGAAATGGCAACCCACACCAGTATTTTTGCCTGGAGAATCCCAGGGACAGTGGAACCTGACCGGCTACATACAGTCCATGGGGTTGCAAAGAGTTGGACATGACTGAGTGACTAACACCTTAAATGTGAAACACCAAAAGTAAATTTGCTGAAAATCCAGAACTGCTTGTACTTTATAAATGCTACAATAGATGACAGGGGTTAGTTAGTCTTTTGATATAATATTTTTATGAATGTTAGAATGGCTACCTTGGAATCTTTTCTTACAGGAGTATCACAGGAGTATCTTTTAAC